TCTATCTATCTATCTATCTATCTATCTATCTATCTATCTATCTATCTATCTATCACTATTTTCTCTTGGTTTTCCAAGGAAGGCTTCCTAATTCTCGCTTGGCACAATGTACAGGGTCACCCACATCCCTCCCCTCCTTCACCCTGGCAACTGTATTGCTGCTATATTTTAATCTCTCAGGGATTAGTTTAATCTAGGTCACACAACTGAGATAAAGGAAGCTTTGTGTGTCCTTCTGGGAGGCCTGGGGTAACGCAACCGGTTTAGTGGTGTGTTGGCAAGAGCTGTCATGCCCCTGTTGGAGTCTGACTCAAGAGGGAGAGGAGGAACAGCCCACAGGGAGTGGGAGTGTGGCTCCAGAGGTTGTGGAGGAAACTGGGGAAGGGCACAGGCCAGCTGGGCAGTCAGAGGAAGACCCTGGCCCGTCCTCTCTTCCTCCTAGGGCACGCAGGGAGGAGAGTATGAGGGAGAAACATGAATGGCGTGGTCTACGGGAGAGGAAGGGGCCCTGATCTCCTTCATGAGCTGCTGCTATGAAGACTGTTTATAAGGACAAACTGTGCACGGCCCAGTGCTGGAAGCAAAGTGTGAAATAATTCTAGTCTTCCAGTTCTTATCTGAGTTCTGGAGTCCTTCCCAGTGTGTATTTTGATTTCTGTGGATGTCTTTAAGCCCTTATCCTGCCTTTTCTCACTAATTGAATGTGGTTTGTATTGGTTTTTGAGTGAAGCAGGGCATACATTGAATTAAACTGTTGAACTGCTTTTGGGGCCTTTAAAATTTGCCCGGCCTCCCCATGTGTCTGGAGCCAGGATTGATAAAAAAGATTATTGAATGGAAAACTGAGATTTTTCTAAAGAGTTCTGCAGAAAAGTGCCCCATTCTCTTATTTTAATCCTTGTGGGTTGTTCTCAAGCCCTCCTCGCTTCTCAGGGATTCGAGAGTCTCTTTGCATTGTTTTTCCTGACTTTACCAACCTGACAGAACCATGGTTCTTTCGAATTGGTTCTGTGGTCCTGAAGAGGACAACCCCTTGGTAGCAGCCAACAGAGGTGGTTTCCAAAACTCCCGGCCCACAAATTCTGAAATCTGTTTTAATCATTGGTGGAAAACAAACAAGTAATGTTATGTCTTAATTGGCCAAAATCTCCAACCGAGTTCTCTCCTTGTCCGTTTTAACCAGGACGGTAAACACACATTTATGCTTTTTAAAACCTGGACTTGGGAATTCGCTGAACCTCTTTTTTTAAAAAAAAATCTTTTCTACCCCACAGCCCAGGAAGTGCTCGATAATTTGAAAGATCGCTGGTACCAAGCCGACAACCCGCCGGCCGATCTGTTGCTGAACGAGGAAGAATTTTTGTCTTTCCTTCATCCGGAGCACAGCAGAGGAATGCTGAAATTTATGGTCAAGGAAATCGTCCGGGATTTGGGTACGTCCTTCCTCCCCCCCTCCCCCCCAATAAATAAATAAATAAAGTTCTTCCAACTTGGATCGTCCCAAGCAGATAAGATGGCACAGAGGCTGGGTTGGCTTTGATGTCACCCAGGGGGTGAATGCCGGCTGGGGAATTCTGGGAGTTGAAGTCCACCATCTAGTTTGCAAAAAAAACTCTTTTGAGTTCAGATGTTCCCACCAGGGGCCTGTATGACTTGAGCTGGCCTGAGGCTTCTCAGCCCAACTCTGGATTGCTGGGGTGTTGGTGCCCAGGAAGGGGTGCTTTGAACTCACGTTTGATTGTGAAGACTGGCAATCAAACCCGAGATTTGTGCCAGGAAGTAAAAAAAAAATGAGACCTTTATCCAGTTGAAAGGGGAGACAAGCTTGCTTCTCTCCAGCTTTGAAACCTTAAAAATGGATTCCTCTTATATTTTATTGGAATTCCCCCTGAAAGAAAGGAAGGAAGGAGAAGGAAGGAAGGAAGTAATGTTTGAGGGAGATGGGCAGTTTAATTGAATGAATGAATGAATGAATGAGAAGAGGGAGAGGAAAGAAAGAAAGAAAAAGAAAGAAAGAAAGAAAGAAAGAAAGAAAGAAAGAAAGAAAGAGAAAGAAAGAAAAAAGAAAGAAGGAAGGAAGGAAGGAAGGAAGGAAGGAAGGAAGAAGGAAGGAAGGAAGGAAGGAAGGAAGGAAGGAAGGAAGGTAGGTAGGTAGGTGTGGGTGTGTGTGTGTTTTTCTAAATGCTTGCCAAGGGCCCAGATTTTGATCACATGACCTTGGTCATAACTGCAAGGACCTTTAAGTCACTTTTTCCAGCCTTGTTATAACAGCCACTAAATGAAGGCTGGTTAAGTCGAGGACTACAGATACGCTTTGACTTACGACCACAATTGGGCCCCAACACTTACGTTGCTAAGTGAGATATTTGCTAACTGAGCTTTGGCTCATTTTAAAGCCATTTTTTTTCCCAGCGCCGTTGTAACTTTGAACGGCCCCTAAATTGAACCGTTGTAAGTCAAGGACCCCCTGTGCTTGTAAACGCCGAGCTGATGCAGCTTGGGCTAGAAGACGTGCCCGGCCGAGACAAAAGTAGAAGCGAGAAGATTTCAAAATCGTTTCCGCCTGCATCTTGTTTGATTTTTGTTTTTAATCTCCCGTCACTTCTCGCCCCAGATCAGGACGGCGATAAGAAGCTGACTCTTTCCGAGTTCATTTCCTTGCCGGTTGGCACGGTCGAAAATCAACAAGCCCAGGATGTGGACGACGACTGGGTGAAAGACCGAAAGAAGGAGTTTGAGGAAGTCATCGATGCCAACCGTGACGGTATCGTTACCATGGAAGAGTTGGAGGTAACCAAGCTGTGGCTTAATGTGTCTTCATTTCTCCCCGAAATTACATGTATTTTTTTTTTCCTCCCCATCCTTCTGCTGTGGTTACTGCCGCGAGTGCCAGGCTAGCAATTCTTGAACCAAGCTGAAGCCTGCTAGATCAAGCTGACAATTGTCTGGAAACGGTCCAGACTTGAAGAAAAAGAGAGAGGGAGGGAGGAAGGAAGGAAGGAAGGAAGGAAGGAAGGAAGGAAAAGAAAGAAAGAAAAAGAAAGAAAGAAAGAAAGAAAGAGAAAGAAAGAAGGAAGGAAGGAAGGCGATGCACAAATGTGAGGGGAAGGAAGGAGAGAAAGAAAGAAAGAAGGAAGGAAGGAAGGAAGGAAGGAAGGAAGGAAGGAAGGAAGGAAGAAAGAAAGAAAGAAAGAAAGAAAGAAAGAAAGAAAGAAAGAAAG